TACTAATAGATATTTTAAAAATCACTCATTTTCTCCTACTCCTATTTCCTACTGGCTCTCAATCAATAGGATTCAGAAATGAAAGGATCAGATATCTTCCTAAAAATGAAGGAAGCCAAGCTTGAGCTGGCCATGGCTTCTCAAGCTTGCACCTATAGTCCTGGCTTCTTGGGAGGCTGAGGCAGGAGGATGGCTTGAGCCCAAGAATTTGAGGCTGCTTGGACAACACAGTGAAACTTTGCCTCTCAAAAAAAAAAAAAAAAAAGATACTAAGCCAAAAGAAAGGGGTTCAGGGCTTTTTTTTTTTTTCCCCAGCCGTGGCTAGTCACAGCACTTGCCTCCAACAACACAGCAGAAGAAGCTATCTCATAGGCTTTTTCTTTTTTTTGTGAGATGGAGTCTCACTCTGCTGCCCAGGCTGGAGTGCAGTGGCACAATCTTGGCTCATTGTAACCTCTCCCAGGTTCAAGCAATTCTCCTGCCTCAGCCTCCCAAATAGTTGGGATTACAGGCACCTGCCACCACGCTTGGCTAATTTTGGTATTTTTAGTAGAGATGAAGTTTCATCATGTTGGCCAGACTGGTTTCAAACTCTTGATCTCAAGTGATCCGCCCGCCTCAGCCTCCCGAAGTACTGGGATTACAGGTGTGAGCCACAGTGCCTGGCTCCATAGGCTTTTTTTTTTTTTTTTGAGACGGAGTTTCGCTCTTGTTACCCAGGCTGGAGTGCAATGGCGCAATCTCGGCTCACTGCAACCTCCGTCTCCTGGGCTCAGGCAATTCTCCTGCCTCAGCCTCCTGAGTAGCTGGAATTACAGGCACGTGCCACCATGCCCAGCTAATTTTTTTGTATTTTTAGTAGAGACGGGGTTTCACCATGTTGACCAAGATGGTCTCGATCTCTTGACCTCGTGATCCACCCGCCTCGGCCTCCCAAAGTGCTGGGATTACAGGCTTGAGCCACCGCGCCCGGCCTTCCATAGGCTCTTTTATTGCCTGAAGATCTATGGCCCAGGCCATTTTATGCACACAGAAGCATATAGAGAACCACTGGGTTAGATAATCAGTAGGGTCTCTTTCTAAAAATCTAGGGTTGTCAGCTGAGTTTCATAGCTCTTGTGATTCTTAATTCTGGAGAAAGAGCAAGAAATAAATAAACATGTAATCTACAGGCTTTTTTGAGAAACACTTAAGTCTGATGATAGACATATGGGTGGTGTAACCACCCAATGGATTCACCTTTTTGGCTGCCTAAATAGAGCCAATTTATCAAGACAGGGAAATTGTAATAGAGAAGAAATAATTCACGCAGAGCTGGTTGTGCAGGAGACTAGAGTTTTATTATTACTCAAATCAGTCTCCCTGAGTTTTGAGATAACAAGGTTTTTAAAGACAATTTGGTGGGTGAGGGAAGCCAGTGATTTGGGAGTACTGATTGGTCAGGTCAGAGATGAAATCACAGGGAGTTGAAGCTGTATTATTTTATTTCATTTATTTTTTAAAAGACGGGGTTTCACCATGTTGGCCAGGCTGGTTTTGAACTCCTGACCTCAAGTGATCCACCTTGGCCTCTCGAAGTGCTGGGATTACAGGTGTGATCCACCTTGCCCCAACATAAAGGGCAATTCTTTACGCAAAAATGATGAGGTGAAATAGACTTATTTAGTTAACCACCCAGGCCCAAATGATCCTCCCACCTTAGCCCCGCAAGTAGCTGGGACTATAGGCGGTGCGGCCATGCTCAACTAATCTTTGTATTTTTGTAGTTTTTGTACAGACAGGGTTTCACCATGTTGCCCAAGCTGGTCTCACTCTGTCACCCAGACTGGAGTGCAATGGCTCAATCTCGGCTCACAGCAACCTTCACTTCCCAGGTTCAAGTGATTCTCCTGCCTCTGTCTCCTAAGTAGCCAGGACTACAGGCATCCGCCACCACACCTGGATAATTTTTGTATTTTTAGTAGAGACAGGGTTTCACCATATTGGCCAGGCTGATCTCGAACTCCTGACCTTGTGATCCTCCCACCTCAGCCTCCCAAAGTGCTGGGATTACAGGCGTGAGCCACCATGCCTGGCTTCTTTGAGACCTTTAAAGGTATCAGATTTTCCATTAATCTTCCCTATATTCCAACAAGAGAAAGCCTCAGAGAATGACTGGCTGCATCAATGCAGATTTTCTCCAAATACGCAAGCCTCTCCCACAAAAAAACAGCTTTGTAGGATTACTCCCTGCAGGTCCTCTGAACAGCCATCTCAAAATATGTGAAAGAAGTATATTTTGGAGTGAAGTTTTTTGGTTTCCTTCACTATGCATCCTTCCTGGGGTGTTATTCTTGCCACTGGTTTCCTGTTCTCAGATTCACAAAGTTGAAAGAGTTGGGGGTGCAGAATTCAATGTGCTTCATCCTTTGGGGGCTTGAAGAGTCTCTGGTTCCCAAACTTAGTCCCTGGGGCCCTCTGCTTCAAATGCAAATAAAGGGAAAAAGAATCTTGCTCAACCTTAAGAGAGGAAATGACTCAATAGGTTTAAAACAAAAAAAGGAAAAAGATGGAGGCATTTTGTAGGTGAAAGGGCGAGTGTCTTCTGATGCAAAACAAGAGGTCATTAGAACAGGGCTGGGTTACCAATAAGCGGACCAAACATTTGCTTAGGGAACAAACAAGGCTGAACGTGAAAAAGAAAAGCAAAGCATAGTAATCTGATTGCTTCAAACACTGAAGATGGCAGGATAGGAAAAAACCCAAGCCAGAACTTTTTTGAACTTCCTAACACATATTTTATGGTTTAGTATTTATGGCTTAGTATTATATTTTATTTTGAATTACATGAGGGGAGGAGGGGGAAAATACTGTAATTTTTCTTGCTAAGGACCATTATATATTCAGGTATAATGGAATAAGGGAGACCATTTTAATGGGTCAGTTTGGAGTTTTAAATATGATCAACAGTATCGGTGCGCATGCAAGACTGGTTAAGAAATTGGGGTAGGCCGGGCGCCGTGGCTCAAGCCTGTAATCCCAGCACTTTGGGAGGCCGAGGCGGGTGGAACACGAGGTCAAGAGATCGAGACCATCCTGGTCAACATGGTGAAACCCCGTCTCTACTAAAAATGCAAAAAATTAGCTGGGCATGGTGGCGCGTGCCTGTAATCCCAGCTACTCAGGAGGCTGAGGCAGGAGAATTGCCTGAACCCGGGAGGCGGAGGTTGTGGTGAGCCGAGATCGAGCCATTGCACTCTAGCCTGGGTAACAAGAGCGAAACTCTATCTCAAAAAAAAAAAAAAAAAAAAAAAAAGAGAGAAATTGAGGTAAAAACCTCTGAGGGCTTCTTACAGTTGAAACTCCAAAGCTGGACAAACAAAGCCGGCCCCTGGGACACCAGCGCTGTGGGCTCCTCCCTAGGTTCTCGGTGCTAGAGAGGGAGGACCTGCGGCGCCGCGCGCCTGCTCCTTTCCCACCTCCCAACTAGACTCTCTGCCTTATCCTCCCAGCGAGCTGGGGGAGGCGGAGGCCGGACAACTTCATCTGGAGATCCCCTCTCACCGGGGAAGAAGTCCTACGAGACCTACCTGGCCCCGGGCGGTGACACAACTTGTTTGCTCAAATAATCTGGTTCCAAATCCGCGCAGGAAAAAAATACACAGGAAAAAAAAACCCAGGGACTCAGATGACATAGCTGTCTTTGAAAAACAATGCATAACCCCGCACACATAAAGTTGCCTATCTCACATAAGCCTACACAGCTATCATTCTAGAGTGATCTCAAGTCTTTTCTTTTTCTTGTTTAAGACGGGCTTACTCTGTCACTCAGGCTGGAGTCCCGTGGTGCGATCTTAACTCCTCGCTGCCTCGATCATCTGTGCTTAAACGATTCTGTCACCCTCAGACTCCCTCACCCCCCACCCCCAACCCCGTCAAACAGCTGGGACTAGATGAGCCTACAGAAGCACGCGCCGGGCTACTTTTTTTTTTTTTTTTTTTTTTTTTTCATTTTGGGAGAGACGGGGTTTCACTATGCTGCCCTGGCTGGTCTCGAACTCCTGACCTCAGGTGATTCGCCCGCATCGGCCTCCCAAAATGCTCGGATTACAGGCGTGAGCCACTGCGCCCAGCCTTCACAGAACTTTTAAAAGTTATTAGTTCGCTATAAATAACAGCGGAGAAGCCATTGTGCAGCGCCACGAGATCTCAGTGCACTGCAGCCTCGTCCTCCCAGGCTCAAGGGATCCTCCCATCTTAGCCCCGCAAGTAACTGGGGCCACAGGCGCGCACCACGACGCTGGGCTATTTTTTTTTTTTTGAGACGGAATTTCCCTCGTTACCCAGGCTGGAGTGCAATGGCGCGATCTCGACTAACCGCAAACTCCGCCTCCTGAGTTCAAGCGATTCTCCTGCCTCAGCCTCCTGAGTAGCTGGGATTACAGGCACGCGCCACCATGCCCAGCTAATTTTTTTTTGTATTTTTAGTAGAGACGGGGTTTCACCTTGTTGACCAGGATGGTCTCGATCTCTTGACCTCGCCTCGTGATCCACCCGCCTCGGCCTCCCAAAGTGCTGGGATTACAGGCTTGAGCCACTGCGCTTGGCGACGCTGGGCTATTTAAAATTTTTTTAAATTAAAAAAAAAAAAATCTTAGCAAGGTTGGTCTTGAACTTTTAAACTCGACAGATTCTCTCGCCTCAGCCTCCAAAAGCATTGTGATTACAGGCGTGAGCCATCACGCCCGGCCGCTGTTTTCACTTTTAAAGAGTTCTATTCTGAGGACTAACGTCATTCAACAAGTTAGTGTGAATTTGTTTTCGTTCCCCATTTGCCCCGGGTCTCTCAGGGCCCCGACCCGAGGCAAGGCTACCCTAACTCCCAGCCTCCCCAGGCAGGACCCCCTGGCCCGCTCCCGACAGGCTCCTCTCCCCGCGGCAGGGCCCCTCTCCCAGGCAGCGCACCCCGTTACTGGGACCCGGCCCTCACCCCTCTAGGAGGGCCAGCGTTGGGGGAGGGCGCCGGGACGTGCCCGAGGGCGACACTGCGGGTTGGGACCCGGCGCGCTGCCGCGGGTCACGTGCTGCGGAGGCGCGGGGAGGGGCGGCGAGGCGGGGTTTATAGCCCGGGCGCCCGAGGGCCCCATGTTCTGCTCGAGTCGTGGCTGCCGGAGTCGCCTTCGGTACGCGCCTGCTCTTCGCCCTTCGCTGCAGTCCGACGGTGAGTGAGCGCCCACTCGGTTTCCCAGCGACACGGTCTGGGGCCCCCAGCGGCGCCCAGATGGGGTGAGGGGCTCCCCGGGGCCGCTGCTATGCTCCCCGCGGGGCTCTAAGGTGCGCGGGACGGCTGGGGTGGTGGTCAGGGACCCCGCCCGCCTCGCGGCTTCCAGGTCCTGCCGGGTGGGTGCAGACTCCCGGACCCGCGCTTTCGACCCTCGCCTTTGTGCGTTGAGCCTTCTTTCCTGCCAACAGATTGAGGGCGATTGCTATCAAATGACCCTTGGCCTTCCTAGATGGTTGTGGGGGAAACAATTAACATTTGTCGAAGGTACAGTATCGAAAGGGAAACGATTTAGAAAGCCGAATTTTTTTTTTTCTTTTTGAGACGGAATCTCTGTCGCTCAGACTGGAGTGCAGTGGCACGATCACTGCAACCTCCACCTCCCAGGTGGAAGCGATTCTCCTCACTCAGCCTTCGGAGTAGCTGGGTTTACAGGCGCGCGACACCAGGCCCGGCTAATTTTTGTTTATTTGTAGCAGAGACTGGGTTTCACCATGTTGGTCGGGATGGTCTTGAACTCCTGCCCTCAAGCAGCCCACCCGCCTCAGCCTCCCCAAGTGCTGGGATACAGCCGTGAGCCACCGTGCCCGGCCTGAAAACCATATTTTATGGGTACATATTTTGTGGGTACAGAATGGGAGTGGGCTGCCGATACTGGCGTCTCTTCCGCCTTCAGGGTAGTGGTGGCTTATTTCTTGCAGAAGCGGAATCTTGGCGAGCGTAGGGTGAGCTGGCCAGCCCGAGCACAGAGGACAGTGAGCGGGTTCTTTCCCTCCCAGCTCCGCTGCCGGTGGCTTTGTGTAGGGATGGGCTTTGGGGATACTAAGGTGACGTTTAAAGGCGTCCTGAAATGCTTCTTCCTCAGAGCACCTCCTTGCTCTCGTGCGTAGTTTCTCCTAAACTAGCTTCCGTCTCTTCACAAGGAAGTTTTAATATGTCCCCGCAAAGGGTTCCCACTTGATAGTCCTGTGATCCCCAGAAGAATCCAGGCAGACCAAGATGTCTTCTATTTGAAATCTCTCTTTAGTCTTAACCTGGATTTTACTTTGGCTAGCATTTTTGTGAACAGATCCTGCCCCTCAAAAGGCATCTCTATATCTTGGTGGAGAAACAAGAGAAGTATATCAACAACTTTGTTTTTCCCTCCTGAGTATTGCAGGTTTACACATAAGCTCTGAAACCTTGCCTCAGAAGAGGGAGTGGGGTTGTGTGGGTGTGGGTCTCTCAGGAGGGGGACTCCGAGAGCTGGAGAGTGAAGTGCAGAAGACTACACAAAACTCATCTTGATTGTTTTCTCTACATGAAATCAGCATTTGCTTGCCTTTGGGAACAAATTTGGGAGAGTCTTATCCCAGTGTTCTGAAATAAGTCTCTTTTCTGCAGATTTCTCTCTCCAGAAAGAAAAATGGCATCTGTTGCAGTTGATCCACAACCGGTATGAATTTTGAGTAACCTTTGCCTACTTTCTCTCCTCTTGTGTTTTGAGAGATTAACAAGCCCACCCTCCCTACTTTGATTGCAGAGTGTGGTGACTCGGGTGGTCAACCTGCCCTTGGTGAGCTCCACATATGACCTCATGTCCTCAGCCTATGTCAACACAAAGGACCAGTATCCCTACTTGAAGTCTGTGTGTGAGATGGCAGAGAAGGGCGTGAAGACCATCACCTCGGTAGCCCTGACCAGTGCTCTGCCCATCATCCAGAAGCTAGAGCCGCAAAGTGAGTTCTGATTTTTCAAGATGCAGTCCAGGGACCGGTCAGTGGTAAGCCCCTGAGCTCACAGCAGTAACATCAGGGACTCCTCAGCCCTTCCTGGGGCATAGACTGCCTTTACCTAGAAACTTTCAGGTGACCCTCATTATCATAGAAGGCCTGTTTCTTTTTTTTTTTTTTTTTTTGAGACAGAGTCTCACTCTGTTGCCCAGGCTGGAGTACAGTGGTGTGATCTCAGCTCACTGCAATCTCCGCCTTTCAGGTTCAAAAGATTCTCCTGCCTCAGCCTTCTGAGTAGCTGGGACTACAGGTGCCTGCCACCACGCCTGGCTACTTTTGGATTTTTAGTAGAGATGGGGTTTCACGATATTGGCCAGGCTGGTCTTGAACTCCTGACCTTGTGATCCGCCCACCTCAGCCTCCCAAAGTGCTGTGATTACAGGTATGAGCCACCGCGCCTGGCCATTGAAGGCCTGTTTCATAGCATTGGCAGTTTATGACACTTCAAGTAAAACTGTGAGAAATCTCATACTCTCATACTTAGTAGTCTCTCCCTCATTTCCTTCCAACCACCCTGAGGCAGCTACTAATCTACTTTGTCTTTATAGATTTGCCTATGCTGGATATTTCTTATAAATGAAATCATAAAATATGTTAGTTTTTTGTGATTGGCTTTTTTCATCCAGCATAATGTTTTGAAAGATAGATTAACTTTCAAAACATTATGCTGGATGAAAGGGATAAAAAGGGATGAAGCAGTAACTTCTTCCACACTTTATTGTGTAATAGTAATTTACTGTCTAGACAGACAATATTTTATTTATTCATTGCTCAATTAATGGATGTTTGGGTTCATTCTACTTTTGGAGATTATGCATAATGCTTCTGTGAACATTTTGTATACAAGTTTTTATGTGGACATACGTTTTCAGGTTTTTTTTGGAATATACCTAGGAGTGGAATTGCTGGGTTATATGATAACTGTTTAAGCTTTTGAGCCGCCAGACTGTTTTCCAAATCAGCTGTACCGTTTTACATTGCCACCCAACACTATATGGAGGAGGCTCCAATTTCTCCACATCATGAACTGCTTTTGAATAAAGATTTAAATCATTCCTCCCTCAAATAGTTAAGCCAGGGACTTTCAGGATGATCAAGAGCCTTTAGAGACCAGCCATTCCAACTCTGCTACATCCTAAATGAATTTGGTGCTAGTACTTGGCTTGGTATTCTTAGCGGAAAGCTCACACTAAAATCTCCCTTGTTAGGGAGATCCAGGGTGGTCCTAGCATACTCTTTCCCCATGAGAATCCCAAATACACTGTCATGTGCTGAAGTAAGTGTAGGTAGGGATTAAACTGGCACAGGAATGCTTATTCTGAGAGCGTTTCCAGGGAAAGCCTTATTCTCTGAATGAGAGTTCAGGGAAAGCCTGGCTATTGGCATTAATGTTAGGGGCCAGTTGATGAGGAAGAAGCTTCAGAGCCAGCTTCCTGTTTGGCCTTTCACGGCCTCTGCCTGCTCCTCCCTCACACCCCCGTGTTTCCTTATCTGCAGAAGAAAGTTGCCAGCAACTTGCCAGGCCTCTTGCTGTCAGAGCTAGAGAAATCAGGCAATGCATTCTGTGGTAAAAGATCAACGTTCTTGCCATTTTTATAAGGCTAAAATTATAAGATATGGTAATGTGTTCATTCTATACGTACACACTACATTAACACTTTCCCATTTGTGATTTTAGTTGCGATTGCCAATACCTATGCCTGTAAGGGGCTAGACAGGATGGAGGAGAGACTGCCTATTCTGAATCAGCCATCAACTCAGGTGAGCTTGGAACAAAAGTGCTGAGGCTTGACACCTCACATGTTTTCATCTTCTGTCTGTTAGCACAAGCTGTACATACCACAAGTAGGCAAATACTTGTTTTTCCAACCTGGATCTGGATGTGTGTTTGAAAGAGGAATGGCCACTTCCTTACTTCCTGAACCGTTGTCAAGTTGTTTCCATGAAACGGAGAACAAGCCTCCTTTGGATTAGAAAACTTTTAGTGGGATCTCTATCAATTTGTGTCTTTGCTCCTGCAGACCAAATTGTTGTCTCAAATAACTGATTCCCTTGCGGTGTTAAATAAATGCAGAGGTGATATATAGAAGCTTTTCTCACCTGTCTTGTACGGTGCTGCTAGGAACTACCATCCATATGGGATAGCTAGCCAATGTTGATGACAATGATAGGCTCATCTGTCCTGCTGATCCTTTGGTTCAGATAATGCCCTAAAATTTTGTTTCAAATTAAGAATACAGAATGGCATGAAAGGATGCAAGTTAGGGGAAAATATAGCTCCACTGTTTTTGCATAATCTAAATACAGTCATTTGTCACTTAATGGTGGGAATATGTGTTGAGAAATGCATCATTCGGTGAGTTTGCCATTGTGTGAACATCACAGAGTATAGTCTCACAAACCTAGACGGTAGAGCCCAGTAGTCCCGAAGGTTTTTGGCACCAGGGACTGACAGTCCCAGCTACTCCAGAGGCTGAGGCAAGAGAATCCCTCAAACCGGGAGGTGGAAGTTGTGGTGAGCCAAGATTGTGCCATTGCACTCCAGCCTGGGAAACAAGAGTGAAACTCTGTCTCTAAATAAATAAATAATAAATAGATAAAAATGAAAAATTTCATTGAGTTATTGAAAGCCAATAGTTTTCAATAGTTTTAAGAAGACCTTCTCCCAAGGTATTAACAAATAATTTAGAGGAGGTTTTCTTGTCAGTGTTCCCTGTGGCTATGCGCCATCCTTCCTCCGGGTTCACCCCATCATTGTATCCTCTAAACACAGACAATTGCAAATTGATAACACCCAGAGGGCCAGGTATAGTTTGATCTTCAGTTTCCTCTCTAGATTTATGTGACTTTGGAATAAGCTATATAACTTACCACCACCTTTTCTCTCTTTTTTTTTTTTTTTTTGAGACAAGGTCTTGCTCTGTCACCCAGGCTGAGTGCAATGGCACAATCATGGCTCACTGCAGCCTTGACAAACTGATAAATTTCATATCTGTTTACCTCATTTACTCCTCCCAACAATTCCCAAGGATTGGCAGTTAGGGCAAATACATTTGATAGGGAAAATCAGGCTCATCAACTCTTAGTGACTTGCCCAAGACCTAAAGCTAGAGAGTGAGAGGACTAGACGCCTTCTCTAACTCTTCAGCTGTGCTGCCTTAGTTAAGACCTTATGTATGTCCTCATGCTCATGTTTCTCACCAGCCAAGGGATCTGCTTTTCTACTTCTAGGTTGTTGCCAATGCCAAAGATGCTGTGACTGGGGCAAAAGATGCCATGACGACAACTGTGACTGGGGCCAAGGATTCCGTGGCCAGCACGATCACAGGGGTGATGGACAAGACCAAAGGGGCAGTGACTGGCAGTGTGGAGAAGACCAAGTCTGTGGTCAGTGGCAGCATTAACACAGTCTTGGGGAGTCGGATGATGCAGCTTGTGAGCAGTGGCGTAGAAAATGCACTCACCAAATCAGAGCTGTTGGTAGAGCAGTACCTCCCTCTCACTGAAGAAGAACTAGGTAACTGGAATTTTCCCTTGAAATACTGTTTTATAAATCTTTGTTAAACAGCTCCACTGAGATATACTCTTGTTGTTAGCCTAAATTTACAGTTGTGCAACCATCACCACAATCCAGTTTTAGAATACTTCTGCTACCACAAAAGACCCTCATGCTTGTTTGCAGTCCTTTTTATTTTATTTTTTATTATATAGAGATGGGGTCTCACTATGTTGCCCAGGCTGATCTCGAACTCCTGGGCTCAAGTGATCCACCTGCCTCAACCTCCGAAAGTGCTGGGATTACAGGTGCCAGCCACCACACCTGGCAGTCAATCCTTATTTCCTCTAATCCTTATTTCCAAGACAACCACTAATCTTTTTGCCTCTAGATTTTTCCTTCCTAAAGCAAGCATAAATTTCACACTGAATTGTACATAGTAAGTTTTGAAAGTTCAGTAAAAATGGGCCTTGGAAAACATTTTTTGTAAATGGATTATCTTTAATGGATTATTTTATAAAATTCTTATTACCGCCGGGCGCGGTGGCTCAAGCCTGTAATCCCAGCACTTTGGGAGGCCGAGGCGGGTGGATCACAAGGTCAAGAGATCGAGACCATCCTGGTCAACATGGTGAAACCCCGTCTCTACTAAAAATGCAAAAAAAAATTAGCTGGGCATGGTGGCGCGTGCCTGTAATCCCAGCTACTCAGGAGGTTGAGGCAGGAGAATTGCCTGAACCCAGGAGGCGGAGGTTGCGGTGAGCCGAGATCGTGTCATTGCACTCCAGCCTGGGTAACAAGAGCGAAACTCCGTCTCAAAAAAAAAAAAAATTCTTATTACAAAGAATCATCATTAGATCATGTGTGCCAGGTACCATGTGGCTCAAGTTCACTCTAGGCTGGGCGCAGTGGTGCATGCCTATAATCCCAGCACTTTGGGAGACTGAGAGGGGCAGATCGCTTGAGTTCAGGAGTTTGAGATTAGCTAGGGCAACATGGCGAAACCCTGAAATGCAAAAATTAGCTGGACATGGTGGCTTGTGCCTGTAGTTGGAGCTACTTGGGAGGCTGAGGTGAGAGGATCAGTTGAGCCTGGGAGGTTGAGGCTGCAGGGAGCCAAGATTGCACCACTGCACTCCAGCCCAGGCGACAGAGTGAGACTTCATCTCAAAAAAGTAGTTTTACTCTAGTGGAAGAAGCATGTAGATGCATGCAAGTGTGTATCAGATAGAGTAATATGTTCAAGATAGTCAAGTCCAGCAGCAGACATAAGCAGTCTTGGAAAAATGACTGCATGATTGCTAAGTGATTGGGTAAAAGTAAGAAAGTCAAGATCCAGGTTAGAGTCCAGACCTCCTTATCATTTATCCCTGTGATCCCTTAAGTTTTTTTTTTTTTGGCTCGCTGCAACTTCCGCCTCCCGGGTTCAAGCCATTCTCCTGCCTCAGCCTCCTAAATAGCTGCGATTACAGATGCGCACCACCATGCCCAGCTAATTTTTGTATTTTTAGTAGAGACGGGGTTTCACCATATTGGCCAGGGTGGTCTTATGATCCGCCCATCTCGGCCTCCCAGAGTGCTGGGATTATAGGCGTGAGCCATCGCACCCGTCCTCAAGTTTTTTTTTGTCTCTTCTTTCTAATTTCAGAAAAAGAAGCAAAAAAAGTTGAAGGATTTGATATGGTTCACAAACCAAGTTATTATGTTAGACTGGGATCCCTGTCTACCAAGCTTCGCTCCCGTGCCTACCAGCAGGCTCTCAGCACGGTTAAAGAAGCTAAGCAAAAAAGCCAAGAGACAATTTCTCAGCTCCATTCTACTGTTCAGCTGGTGAGTAAAACTTTATTTTAAGGTATCTGAAGTGAGTTCATTTATCTCTAGGCCCAAGAGTTAATGTAATCAGAATCCAAGAATTTCACTGTTACTTGATGAACAACCCAATAGAGAACTGGGTGAAAAATATGAAGACAACTCACAGAAAAAGAAGTATAAATAGCTGAAATATCTGAAGCAATGCTAATCTTGCTCTGAGGGGTCAAATACCAACACCTCTCTCTTCTCCTGCCATGCTGGAAATGTGGCTGTTGGCAATGGTGTAGAGAAAGAACCACATTTATGTAGCTCTTGCTCTAAGGGACTGATTCAAGAGACAATTTTAGGAAAGTTACAAGCATACCTATACTTTGAGCATTTTACTTTTTATCCTACAGATGTGTATATTTGTTTAAAGCTGCAAGAGACTATAACAATGCACAACCACTCAAGTGACTAATTAAATTGATACATCACAGTAGACTACTGTGTAGCCATTAAAGGTTGCCAAGTTGGCCAGGCATGAACCCAGCACTTCGGGAGGCTGAGGCTGGTATATCACGAGGTCAGGAGCTTGAGACCAGACTGGTGAAACCCCATCTCTATTAAAAATACAAAAAAAAAAAAAAATTATCTGGGCGTGGTGGTTCATGTAACCCCAGTTACAAAGGCTAAGGCAGGAGAATTGCTTGAACCCAGGAGGCAGAGGTTGTAGTGAGCCAAGATCGCACTATTGTATTCCAGCCTGGGTGACAGAGCAAGACTTTGTCTCAAAAAAAAAAAAAAAAAAAAGGTTGCCAAGTTACAGAACAGTATGTACCATTCTGTACTGCCATAATAAAACCATTTCTTCCTGGAAGGGGAAATAGGTGGTTGGCAACAGGGAAGAGGAAGGTTGAATTGCTTTCTGTTATTTTAATCTAACTTACCCTTTACTCATATACACATTACATTTTAATTGCTGGCTGGGCACCGTGGCCTATGCCTGTAATCCCAACACTTCGGGAGGCCAAGGCAGGTGGATCATCTGAGGTCAGGAGTTCGAGACCAGCCTGGCCAACATGGTGAAACCTGTTTCTATTAAAAATGTGAAAATTAGCTGGGCATGGTGACATATTCCTATAATCCCAGCTACTAGGGAGGTTGAGGCAGGAAAATCACTTGAACCTGGGAGACGGAGGTTGCAGTGAGCCATGATCATGCCACTGCACTTCAGCCTGGGTGACAGCGAGACTCTCTCAAAAAAAAAAAAAATTTTTTTTAGTTGCTTTACGTGTGCTGAAGTGGAGGTAAATTTGGAGTCAGTGATTTAATAGTTAAATAGAGGCAGTAAAGAGCTACTACTGCTTGGTTAACTTACACATATTGATAATAAATAACAATGATAGCAGGGATAGATCTCATTCAGCTCCAGGAAATTCTTAGTTTTTATGTTGCCTGATTTACATCATGTATCTGCAAACAGACTAACATGAATGTCTGACCTGTGTGTTTCTTTGTCTTGTTTCAATGTGTCTAGATTGAATTTGCCAGGAAGAATGTGCATAATGCCAATCAGAAAATTCAGGATGCTCAGGATAAACTCTACCTCTCATGGGTGGAGTGGAAAAGGAGCATTGGGTATGATGATACTGATGAGTCCCACTGTGCTGAGGTAAGATGACTGGGACAGTCATTCGCTAGTTTCCAAAGTTCTTACCAAACTTTTCGTTTCAATTTTTCCATACTCTGTCTTAGAATACTCTATCAAAAGGTTGAACAATACTTTGTACATAGGTGGCTAGTTATGTGGCAGAAAAGCAAAACTACGCAGGGAGTAATTTTATTTAACAATCTGTGAATATACATATGCCCCAAGTGAGATACAACCAAACATAGGCCTTGCCCTTATAATGGGTACAGACTAACAGGGGATACAGCCAGCCATGCTGTCCTATTGTGCCTTTTTTTTTTTAACTGTTCCTTGCAGAAGAGGGCTACCCCATAGGCAGTATGCTCAGAGTAGCCAAGTTCTGTTGTTTTTTAACAGCATAAAAATAGGCACTATTGGCCGGGTGTGGTGGCTCACACCTGAAATCTCAGAACTTTGGGAGGCCAAGGCCGGTGAATCACCTAAGGTCAGGAGTTAAAGACTAGCCTGGCCAACATGGAGAAATCTCATCTCTACTAAAAATACAAAATTAGCCAGGCATAGTGGTGTGCTTCTGTAGTCCCAGCTACTTGGGAGGCTGAGGCAGGAGAATCACTTGAACTCTGGAGGTGGAGGTTGCAGTGAGCTGAGATCATGCCACTGCACTCCTGCCTGGGTGACAAAGTGAAACTCCATCTCAAAAATACAGGCACTGTGAAAATTTATGGGATGACTATCTGAGGCAGGCTTGGAGTCAGGGTGGGTGAGTCACTTGGCTTTCTGGAAGAGATGAATGGTAAGCTGAGAACTAATTGGTGAATAAACTAGGCAAAGGAGCAATAAGGGTATTAATGTTTCAGGCAGAAGACATAGCATCTTAGCTGAGCACAATAGCTCACACTTGTAATCCCAGCACTTTGGGAGGCCAGGGCAGGCAGATCACTTGAGCCCAGGAGTTCAGGATCAGTCTGGTCAATGGTGAAACCCCATCTTTACAAAAAATACAAAAATTAGCAGGGCTTGGTGGTGTGCACCTGTAGTCCTAGTTGGCTCGGGAGGCTGAGGTGGGAGGATCACCTAAGCCCGTGAGGTTGGGGCTGCAGTGGGCCATGATTATGCCACTGCCATCCAGCCTGGGTGACAGACTAAGACCCTATCTCAAAAAAGAAGGTCTTATAGACCTAGAAAGTGGTTCTTTGTGTCTCAAAAGCTCTGAAGTCAGTATTAAACTGTTCGTTCATATCTTGCCATTTTACATATATATTAAACTACAAACAGGGAATATGAATATATATATATATATAAAAAATAGTGTAATATATATATATTACACTACTAATAAGAAATATTTTTCCATTCTTTTGGGTGTCACCTACTAATATGTTTCTTCAGTTTAAGATGATGAACTTTGGAGACTTAGGCACTAGTTTGAATTCCCACCCAGCTGTTTTCCGGTTGTTAACTGAAGCCATCCACTTAAACTCTAAGCTTGTATTCTTATCTATGAAATGTGAATAATACCGCTGCACTCAGCACTGTAATGAGGATTTTTAAAAGCCAAAAAATCCACATATGTGGTAGACACATAACCAGCTTACTTTCATTGAACCTTATACATAGCACTGTTGGATCCACTGCTAATTTTAAGTTTTATTTTTAGCACATCGAGTCACGTACTCTTGCTATTGCCCGAAACCTGACTCAGCAGCTCCAGACCACGTGCCACACCCTCCTGTCCAACATCCAAGGCTTACCACAGAACATCCAAGATCAGGCCAAGCACATAGGGGTGATGGCCAGCGACATCTACTCAGTGTTCCGCAATGCTGCCTCCTTTAAGGAAGTGTCTGACAGCCTCCTCACTTCTAGCAAGGGGCAGCTGCAGAAAATGAAGGAATCTTTAGATGATGTGATGGATTATTTTGTTAACAACACGCCCCTCAACTGGCTGGTAGGTCCCTTTTATTCTCAAATGACTGAGTCTCAGAATGCTCAGGACCAAGGTGCAGAGATGGACAAGAGCAGCCAGGAGGCCCAGCAATCTGAGCACAAAACTCATTAAACCTGCCCGTCACCAGTGCATGATGTGGCCAGCCAGCTGACACCTTTTGTTGAAATTAACCTGCTAGACAACCTGCTAAATTGGGAAGCAAGTAGCTAGTAAAAAGGCCCTCAATTATATTACTTCCAGTTGAATTAAGAGCTTTAATGTTTCTGGCATTAGCAGATGATTTCTGTTTACCTGGTAAGAAAAGAATAACAGGCTTGCCAAAGCCTAGCCAGAACTCATAAAAAATTCTAGTGCATTTTATGTTCTCATTCTGTGGCCAGTGTGTTGCCTCTGTTACTGTTTGTATTGAATAAAAACATCTTCATGTGGGCTGGGGTAGAAACTGGTGTCTGTTCTGGTATGATCTGAGCAGGCCTCTTTACTGGTTTATCTCATGATGATTGCTTGTACAACTTGATTTTAGTTTTTTATTTCTCAAATAGGAAAACTGCCCTTGAATTCAATAAAAGTCACTGCAGGATAGACCAGTTACATGCTGTTTGTTCCATGTGCTTTGTGCGTTGCTTAACCTGCATGACAGAGTTATTAAACATACGTGAATTTCAATTGGCCTACGGTGGAATTTGGCAGAGTGAGAACATTGGAAGGCTAATGTTAAAAATGGGATGCTAGGCCGGGCGCGGTGGCTCAAGCCTGTAATCCCGGCACTTTGGGAGGCCGAGGCGGGTGGATCACAAGGTCGAGAGATCGAGACCATCCTGGTCAACATGGTGAAACCCCGTCTCTACTAAAAATACAAAAAATTAGCTGGGCATGGTGGCACGTGCCTGTAATCCCAGCTACTCAGGAGGCTGAGGCAGGAGAATTGCCTGAACCCAGGAGGCGGAGGTTGCGGTGAGCCGAGATCGCGCCATTGTACTCCAGCCTGGGTAACAAGAGCGAAACTCCGTCTCAAAAAAAAAAAAAAAAATGGGATGCTTGATAACAGATTTAACACAAATGAAAAAGTAATGTGCATATTCAAATTTTGCTAGGTGACAGTTGCTCTCTGTTTGCCAAGTTACTGGGCCCATGTGAGTGGGTTTTTAAACCAGTAAAAGGACCTAGTCGTGTCTGACTACCTCACTGAGAAAGAATCAGAACTGAAAGGAAGCGAGTGATTGTTTTCATCAGTGTCATGTAAAGGCATTGGGCATTTCTTGCCAGGGAACCAGTTTATAAAGTGCGAGCCCTAAAAGGGAGATTCTTCAGTGTCCAGCCTGAGCTGGACTTAACTTATTGCATTTTCATTTTGAGAGAAAGTCACTAACCTCAATTTTTTTTTGGGGGAGATGCTTCTAGAAAACCATGTGAGACTAACTGCAAGTGAAAAGACTAATCCCCCTGTAATTTGTCTCTTTCTATCCTGGTTCACCCCTTTCCATGAAACAAAGAAGCAGCACATAACTTTACATGCTCCTTTGGTGTGAATGAATCTATTCAAGATTTTTGTTGGCCAGGCACATTGGCTTATGCCTGTAATCCCAGCACTTTGGGAGGCTGAGGTGGACGGATCACCTGAGGTCCGGAGTTTGAGACCAGCCTGGCAACATGGTGAAACCCGGTCTCTACTAAAAACACAAAAATTAGGCTGGGTGTGGTGGCTCATACCTGTAATCCCAGCACTTTGGGAAGCTGAGGCGGGTGGATCATGAAGTCGGGAGTTTGAGACCAGCCTGGCCAACATGGTGAAACCCCATCTCTACTAAAAATACAAAAATTAACTGGGCATGGTGGCTGGCACCTGTAATCTTAGCTACTCAGGAGGCTGAGGCAGGAGAATCGTTTGAACCCAGGAGGTGGAGGTGGCAGTGAGCCAAGATGTGCCATTGCACTCCAGCCTGGGCGACACAGTAAGACTCTGTCTCCAAAAAAAAAAAAAATAAAATAAAAAAATCCACGAAAATTAGCTGGGTGTGGTTTTATAACTTTTATAAAATTTTATAACTTGACAAAAAAAATTTTTTTTTTTTTTTTTTTTTTGAGGCAGAGTTTCGCTCTTATTACCCAGGCTGGAGTGCAATGGCGCGATCTCGGTTCACCGCAACCTCCGCCTCCTGGGTTCAGGCAATTCTCCTGCCTCAGCCTCCTGAGTAGCTCGGATTACAGGCATGTGCCACCATGCCCAGCTACTTTTTTTTTTTTGTATTTTTAGTAGAGACGGGGTTTCACCATATTGACAGGACGGTCTCGATCTCTTGACCTTGTGATCCACCCGCCTCGGCCTCCCAAAGTGCTGGGATTACAGGCTTGAGCCACCGCGCCCGGCCAAAAAAAAAATTTTTTTTTGTCAAGGTATAAAATTTTTCTCCTCAGTGCAACTCCAGAAATTAGTAAACAGGTGAGCTGAGTTGGAGGGTAGGAACTCCCTGGGATACTTGAAGGTGCTCTTTAATTTGTTTTGCAGATAAGGAGCTTCTGGTTTTGGGAAGGATGGACTTTTGTGATTTATGGGTTTCCAGGACAGAGTCTATTCACTCACTTGCCTCCCTGTTCCCAGTGACTGGCATTTTCTAAAGCCTCTGCCTCTTAAATTTTCTTTCTTTTTTCTTTTCTTTTTTTTCTCTTTTTTTTTTTTTTTTTTTGAGGTAGAGTCTCCCTCTGTTTCTCAGGCTGGAGTGCAATGGTACAGTCTCAGCTCACTGTGACCTCTGCCTCCCAGCTCAAGCCATTCTCTTGCCTCAGCCTTTCAAGTAGCTGCAATTACAGGTGTGCGCCACCATGCCCTGCTAGTATTTGTATTTTTAGTAGAGACGAGGAATCACCATGTTGGCCAGGCTGGTCTCAAACTCCTGACCTCAGGTGATCTGCCTGCCTCAGCCTCCCAAAGTGCTGGGATTACAGCTGTCAGCTATTGCACCTGACTAAATTTTTTTTTTCTTAGTCCAAATCACCCTGCCCCTTTGTGCCTCAAAACTGCCAGGACTGGTATTTCGCAGTTTATTCCAGTTGACTGGAAAATTCATAAGCTATAGTTACACACATGCTTTCTTATTTTGAACATTTACCTTTGTGTTTCCCCATTATAAGAGTATATAGGGCCAGGCGTAGTGGCTCACGCCTGTAATCCAAGCACTTTGGAGGCCAAGGCGGGCGGATCACCTGAAGTTGGGAGTTCAAGACCAGCCTGACCAACATGGTGAAACCCCGTCTTAAAAAAAAAAAAAAAAAAAGAGTATATAGTGTGTTACTTAAGATAGTACAGATTTTTAAAAAAAGAAGAGTTGTAGTGCTTACTGAATAGCTTATGAAAAGGAGGCAGGTCTCAAAGCTCTTCCTGAGCAGGGACAGAATAAAATGTAGACCATTCTTAGCTTCTAGAAGAACACCAGCAGCCCTTGCTTTTTGCCATGAGCTGTGCACATTGGTCATGGTTTTGCTGTCTTTGTGTTTCAAGTTTGTGCCTACATGCATTTCGTTCATTTGTCAACATGTCTCAGGATTTGTGGTGGTTTTTTGTGATTTTTTTTTTTTTTTGAGATGGGCTGGAGTGGAGTGGTACGATTGGCTCACTGCAACCTTTGCCTTCCAGGCTCAAGCAATTCTTCCACCTCAGTGTCCTGAGTATCTGGGACCACAGGCATGCACAACCACACCTGGCTAATTTTTCTGTTTTCGTAAAGTTGGTGTTTCACCACATTGTCCAAGCTGGTCTTGAACTCCTGAGCTCAAGTGATCCATCCACCTCAGCCTGCCAAAGTGCTGGGATTCCAGGCCTGAGCCACTGAATCCAGCCTGTTTTCTCATATCTTGCAGCTTCATTGTTGCATAAACTGGCAGAAAATTTTCATTTTATAGACTTTTTTCCTACAGAAAACAGTTGTTTTGAGGGAAAATACTAAGGCTAACACAGTATCTAACCATGGTAGGTTCGTACACATGGGACTGCATGAAGCCTGGCATGGTGTGCCTGAGGAGGTGTTCAAGAATGTTTTTCCGGCCGGGCGCGGTGGCTCAAGCCTGTAATCCCAGCACTTTGGGAGGCCGAGGCGGGTGGATCACGAGGTCGAGAGATCGAGACCATCCTGGTCAACATGGTGAAACCCCGTCTCTGCTAAAAATACAAAAAATTAGCTGGGCATGGTGGCACGTGCCTGTAATCCCAGCTACTCAGGAGGCTGAGGCAGGAGAATTGCTTGAACCCAGGAGGCGGAGGTTGCGGTGAGCCAAGATCGTGCCATTGCACTCCAGCCTGGGGAACAAGAGTGAAACTCCGTCTCAAAAAAAAAAAGAATGTTTTTCCCTTTGCCTGTAATAATAATATAGTCTTTGTAGTTTGTCCTATGCAGAAATGCAAAGAAACATGACACACTGGCCATTAACCTGTGAGCCTTAGTTTTCTCATCTATTAAGTTAACGTTGCCACAACAGATGGATGTGAGTGTTTCGGATGGGGATGTGTTTTTCTAATTTGCACTAGAGGCATGAGGACATCATCTGTAGGACCGTGACATATAGTATCTTTAATTTGGCAGTTCAGGTGTGAGTATATAATATCAGCTAATGGTTATGAAAATGTATCCACTTTGATAAGGCAGTTATAGGTATTAAAGAGCTAACGAAACTGGGCCTGGTGGTACATGCCTATCGTCTCAGTTACTCAGGTGGCTGGGACAGGAAGATTGCTTGAGCCCAGGAGTATAAGGCTGCGGGGGGAAAAAAAAACAGCAATTAATAAAGTGACAAGGGAAAAACTAAAATTTGATTTACATGAGATACGTAAGATACAGGGCTCAGGGCTCGAGGTCAGCTCCTGTAATTCAAGCTACTTAGACATGAGAATTGCTTGAACCTGGGAGGCGAAGGTTGCAGTGAGCCAAGATCGCACCACTGCACTTCAGCCTGGGTGACAGAGCAAGACTCAGTGTCAAAGAAAAAAAAAAGGAAATTGTTAAGATTGTCAGTAAGATGACTAAGTGAAATGATAGGAAGACAGTTGAAAGAAAAATGTTTGCGGTGGGAGGTAGACAGAATTGCCTGGGATTCTTCTTTTGCTTAAACTGGGCCTGCAGATTATAGATATAATGTGAGATATAACGAAAGGCTTTAAATCTCAAAAGGGAGCCTAGTCTTGATACAGAATATACGTTCTAGGTTTTTCGCTTGGTACAGGTTTTATGAAAGTGCCATTTGAGAGTGCCATATAAAAGATAGTAGAGCTGGCCAGCCATGGTAACTCATGCCTGTAATCTCAGCACTTTGGGAGGCCAAGGTGGGCAGATCACCTGAGGTCAGGAGTTCAAAACCAGCCTGGCCAACATGATGAAATCCCACCTCTACTAAAAACACAAAAATTATCTGAGTGTGGTGGCCCATGCCTGTAATCTCAGATACTTGGGTGGCTGGGGAAGGAGAATCACTTGAATCTGGGAGGTGGAGGTTGTAGTGAGCCAAATTCATACCACTGCACTGTAGCCTGGGTGACAGTAAGACTCCATCTCAATAAAATAAAACAAAAATCCAATGTCAGATTTTCCATTTTTAAGTGTATA